TAGGTGTATATTATAAAGAATGAATGCAGAGAGTATTGCATAGGATAGTCTTCATCTCCATCCAGATGTATACAAAACAAGCAGAAAGCGTCTTCTAAAGTATTGCATAGGATAATCTTCATCCCCATCCACCTGTGTATATAACATTTACCCTTAACGAAGGGGTGGGCTCGCTATCTGACCCTAGATGTACTGTATATTATAACCCATGACAGAGTTTAGGGTAACACAAAGGACAGTTTTCACCGCTATGTGCCCATCAGTGAATAACTACTTGTACTTGGGCATTAGTTGAACTTGATGGCCCAAAAACACTGATCCCTTTGTTGACAAGGCCAGCCTCTGCCTAGCTACCTCCACCTGGGCACAACCACACACTCTACAAGGAACTTTATGCCCCAGATAAAGTTCCTGCCAAGGCTGATACAAGTTTCCACTCTGGTAAAAAATAAAATAAAAAGCATCCACAAGGCTTCCATCCACCCCAAGGAGCCCCCTGGTACAGGTGACAGGTACTTACCACTTGAACGCCTGACGATGTTCTCCAAAAACGTGTTCTGAGGTGCCACCAAGCCTCGTTTACCCCCCGGCATCCTGCGCTTGGGAAGCTCCTGGGCTGGGACGCGGTGCTGTTTCTGAGGCTGGAGGTGACCGGATGAGTATTCCTGGGAGGGATGTAGCAGTTCATGGTAACGCTCCTCTGGCCGCTGGTGCTGAGACTGTGGCAGGGCTGCACACAGGGATCGGTACCTGCAGGCTCCGGAGACAGTGCGCCTGCGTAGTCTGGCTGCCGGCCAGTACCATGGACAGCGTCCCAAGTCCGGGCGGCTATGAGCGCTGTGTGCCCGGGATGCTCACATCCCCCTGCATCGCCCTTCGCTGTACCGGGGCTCCCATAGATCGTCCCTGGCGAGCCGCTCTCGTCCTCCAACTTGTCTCTCCTACTTTTAGTCGTTCCTGGATCGCCTTGCGGTGCTTCTTCCTCTCTTCATTGATGGATGTGCACTCCGCTCCACTTTCCAGGGTCCTCCTCTCCTCCCCGGCTGCGCTGGCTTGTCGCCTCCCCGGCTCGCTCCTCTGACTTTCCTCCGCTCACTTATCTAATAATAAGCGCAGTTTGCAGAAGCGTTATTGGCGAGCTTTGCTCTTTGCAGTATTCTCCCAATCCAACCAATAAATCCTCTCCTGTGCAAACCCCTCCCTTCCCTGTGCAAAGTTTGGTGATATGACACTAGACAGGTCATCCTGGGGAAAAGGTTCTGCTCACAAGGGGTTAAACGTGCACCGAATTCTTCAAGTGTATGTATAGTCATACAATGATACAAGGACAGCAAAAATAACCTGACAGGGGTTTCTACTCCTCTCTACTCTATCCAAACCTAAAAAAGTGGCTATACATACCTTAAAACATGATTCTTCGAGTGTATGCAGTGGCGTCACAAGGTGGGTGTGGCCCGCATCCGGGTAACACCGTTGCAGGGGTGACACCAAAATAACTGACAGCCATTTTGGTGTCACCCCCTCTAAAAAGTCGGGCACTCGGTCATGGACCCAGAGACCGACAGTCTCAGGAGAGAGGAGGGGATCCGGCAGCATACCTAATCCCGCTGGGTGAACGTCCTCTCCTCTCTGTCGGCATCTATCACCAAGATGGGCGCCGGCAGGCGTCAATCAGATGGTCAATCAGAACGCATGATGACGGCAGGGGTGTCACCCGGTCTGAAGACCAGGTGACACCCGGCCTCGGGATGCCCCTGAGTGTATGTATAGCCATACAATAGTACAGGAACAGCAAAAATAACCTGACAGGGTTTTATACCCTTCGCTACTCTATCCAAACCTAAAAATGGCTATACTGTACATACCTTTAAACATATTTCTTCGAGTGTATGTAAACCCATTCAATGCTACACAGACAGCAAAAATAACCTGACATAAGTTTCTACCCCTCTCTACTATATCCAAACCTAAAATCTTTATATAATATAATAATATTACTACAGGTATTTATATAGCGCCGACAATTTTACACAGCGATTTGCATAGAGCACATTCACATCAGTTCCTGCCCTCAAGGAGCTTACAATCTAAGATCCCCATCTCACATGCATACTGTACATAAAAGGGACAATTTAGACAGGAGCCAATTAACCTTCCAGCATGTCTTTGGAGTGTGGGAGGAAAGCGGAGTACCCGGAGGAAACCCACGCAAGCACAGGGAGAACGTGCAAACTCCTTGCAGATTAAAACATAAGTCTTCAACTGTATGTATACAATGGCGCACAGACAAAAAAAAACAAAAAAACCCTGCCTTGCTGTCTGCATAGTATTGTGAAGATCTCCCTTTACTTCGGGTCCCAGAGGAAATCTCCCAAAATGAGGGAAATTCCCCTCTTAAATTGGGCATACACATCTAATTTCTACTGCTTCATCCCTCCATCCATGCTAAACAGCGGCGCAAATCTCTCCTGCTGGCTATTGTATTCTCACATCTAATAGGCCGACTGTTTGGCCAACAATTTTCTTTCTGGCTTCTTTGATTCTCCAATCAAAATTGGTTATGTAGGGTGGTTCCGGAAGGGACACTCAGGCTTACATTTTTAACCGATTCACAGGAAATGGCTGACATTTTAACAGTGTATAGCCATCTTTAGACAGTTGACACTGAAACAGGTGAAACATTAAAATATTTCTCTTCACCTCTTATTCTGGGGTCAACTGTAAAGTTTTGGATTTCCCCTCACATTCTCTCTAAGTGACAATGGTCAGCAGAATGAAAAGAGGATTGAATGTTCCCAATGGAAACACAGACTGCAATAAAAACTTGACCGAGGGTCTAACCTCTCCACAACTAAAAAAAAAAGTTTTTGGCTAAAGACAGCCTTTAGGGCCCGTTCACACTATCCAGTGCTTTCAGGGAACGGTTCAGTGCCATGAACGCACTGCATCGGATACACAAACCTTCCCCATGTTCTGGGGTGGGAGGGGGCGTGGTGGTGCCATTCATTCCAATGGGACCTCAGACACATCTTCGCATGCACTATATTTTGCGTTTGCACCGCACTGGAATGCAGAGCATTGCTGCACCACAAGTTCCCTGCAGGCAATCGCACTGCAGATGGGAGGCAAGTCAGCAGTGCCATTGGAATGAATGGTACTACCACGCCCCCTCCTGCCCCAGAACACGGTGAGGGTTTGTATATGTGATCCAGTGCATTCATGGCATGGAACCATGCCCTGAACATGCTGGATAGTGTGAACAGGCCCCTAAAGAAGAAGTCTTACCTTGTATTATTTTTCACAGCACAGTCACCTGACTCCCACAGTGTACATTGCTTTTTATCCCATGTTTCTGTGTGAAGGAGAAACTGAGATACAAACTTTGACAGCTCACACCTCTTCATTCCCAACCACGCTCTGCAGAGGAGACGGCCTCTTGATTGACAGCTCTTATGTCCCTGTTCCTGCACTTTCCAGACATCTCTCACAGCAATCAGCACAGGCGCTAGAACTGGAAGAGGAGTCTTTTGTGTCTGGAAAGTGCAGGGACAGTGAGATAGGGGCTGTCAGCCAAGAGGCCCTTTCCTCTGCAGAGCGTGGTCAGGAATGAAGAGGAGTGAGCTGTCAAAGTCTGTATCTCAGGTTCTACTCCACACAAAAGCATGGGATAAAAAGCAATGTACACTGTGGGAGTCAGGTGACTGTGCTGTGAAAAATAATACAAGGCGAGACTTCTTATAAAACTTACATATAATTCTTCATATAGCAAACTCAACTACTAAACCTTATTTAGGCTTTAACATGTAACCATCATCTCAAATGTCAATCATTTTTAAATCTGCAGCTTTCAGTAAAATAATATCTGGTGATCCTATACCACAACATAATCTAGGACTTTCTTTTGGCTACACACAACCATCTCCTGTAGTCAAATTAGATTGATAAATTCTTAAAGTTCATCCCTGTGTCAATCATTTTTTTCTTATGTTGGACTGAGTGGGATGGATTAGAACCCATCAGTTTTATTTTCCCATCTATACCCTTTTAGACAACAATAGTGAGATGAAATCTCTCCAACAAGAGGAAAATGCGCTCTTATTTGTCACCAGAACAAGTTCAGCTTACAAACTGTCATTCTTCACCCTCCTCCATAAAATGGAAACCAACAGAGCCATAGGATTCACAGGAAAGTTAAACACAAATGAATGTCCACTTGTTTCTGCCTTTATGTATTTGTGAATGCCATTGGTATTCCATTATGGAAAAGCTTTACTAAAATGCCAAGGATAATTTTTTTGCACTGACAAACCAAAGTCGCAGGTGAAAAAGTCTGCCTCTTGTAACTGTAAGTCTAACTTTCCCTTTTGTGTGAAATCCCATTAACCCACCTAAAATGGAAAATGATTTGACCAGGCGCAGGTCTTAACACTAGGCAACTAGTGGAGCCAAATAATTGCACTGATTAATTCAGTCTTTAACGTCTCCTTTGACTTGTCTCCGCTTAGGCTGGGTTCACACCTCGTTTTTCAGCTCGTTTTTTAGTTAAGTGAAACACGTGTTTTTATACCTCCCTGGCGGTATGATTTTTTTCCCTTTATTTTCTCTATCTTTTTTTTTCAACTTTCAAACTTCCCGTCGGTTCCACCCCCCTGCGACGCGGCCGCTCGCAAGGGACGGAACCCGGAAGTCGGCAGCGGCCGGAGGACACAGCGGGGATCGCGGACAAGCTAAGTCCTACGCTGTATTCCCGAGTGTGGCTCGGGGTTACCGCTTTGTTAACCCCGAGCCACACTCGGGAATACCAATGGATATGTGCGTAAAAACGCCCCAAAGAAGCTCCTGTTTGGGCATAGGGCGTTTTTCAGCGCATTTCCACGGGCTGAAATATGCCCAGGTGGGAACCATCCCCATAGGAAAGTATGGGATTTCACTGTTTGAGTGTTTTTCAGGCTTCGATCAGCGCTGGAAAAACGCCCAGGTGTGAACCAGCACTTACCTGCCTCTTAGGGGGATTAGATCCTCCCATTTTGTCTGCCCATTTGAGATCAACTATCCATAGAGCCTATTTACGGCCAGGAGAATCATTGCACGGAAATGGATATCTCACTCCCCACCTTCTGTTTCAGAGTGGATGATTGAGCTAGATAGGATCCTTGCTTTTGAAAGGGTAACGTACCAAAGGAGAGGGCTTGATAGTAAATTCTCCCTGATTTGGTCCTCTTGGTTATACTTTAGATCCCGGTAGTCAATGTTTCTTGGTTGTATCCCTCTTCTTCTGTAGACTCCCACAGCTCAAAAACACATTGCCCTAGTATGAATTTACATGCACAAGAAAGATCTAGTAATCTTCATCTATTGTATGTTTCAAAGCAAACCTAATAGATAGTCCCAATTAGGACCAAAGGATCACCTTGAGCTGAGACTATATAAAAGGTATTCACCATTGATATAGTCCAGTGTTGCTAGCCCTGTCTGTGCTCCCTCCTGATGGATTACAGAACAACCCCCCTTATGTAGTGGAGAGGTGGTGGTGCCCTGTAGTCTATCAGTTGAAAACTCAGACAGGACTGATAACACAGCTTGGAATTTTAATG